GGCTGAGGGGCTTTGGGTTTAGGGCTGCGCGCTTGTAGTTTGAACCGTTAAAGCTCTCTAGTCCCGGACGTCAAGCCGGTACAGACTTGAAGTGCACAGGCTTGCTGTGCGGACTGGTGCTGTGGGGGGGGGAGGGCGATCGGAGGGTCGGGGGACTTAGTAACTAGTTAGTTTATAGACTTATACATCATAACCCCAACTAGAATCCCTTTTGGGGTACTTATAACTTTACTTAATATCTACTTTGCTAAGTCCCCTGACCCTCCAAGTATAGGGGCCTTCGAAATTAGAGGATGCAGCAGGGAAGTGCCATCGCCTGAAATGGGGTCGGGAAGCGCACACACCATCAAGGCAGTACACAGGCATGCGCCCCTATCCACCCGGTAGGTTCCTTGTAGATCCCGCGTAGAACCCGCCCTTTGCGACATGTCGAGGAAAGACTTGGGCATTCGATCCCTCCGCCACGGACCTTCCGTGCAATTTGTACAACGCCGCTGGAATCAAAGAAGCTAACTATACGACTTCATGAGCCAGCCGTTTCATTGTTTTGAAACCGAAGGGCTTCAGGCTTAATTCGGGTTTAACTTTGGGTATAATCAGGGTTTAACTGTTGGTGGTGGAGCTGTGTGAGCAGCGAGGTTGAAAGGCAGAAATACACTTCCTGGGACGCGGAGAGAGAGGAGCTTGCTTGCGCATTAAACACAATGGCTGTTTGGTATTCTTGTCGATGCTGTCATAATACAGAAGCGTAAACAAGTAGTACTCCCGGAAAGTCCCGTTTATACCTATGTAGTAGAATCTTAGTAGAACATACCCCAAAATCCTCCTCTATATTGATTCCTAGTTATCCATGTAGGAGGCAAAAAAATTGGTTCCTAGTTATCAAGCTCCGAGATTCCACTGCCGAGTTCTGAGTAGAGTCAATCACAATTTGTCAGGATCCTCGCCTGCCTGCAAGCTGTGACAGTCGAACTCGTCCAAGTCTTTTCAAAACGCAAAGGCTGTTCCCTCAAAAACGCAAATAGTTTCAGCATGTGGCCGAGGTGAAGTTCTTCGAGAAGGGAAAGGCCCGGTATGGGCCCCTAAGTCACCGGAGCGTCTGACGTCAAGCACGTATTGTAGGGTTTGAGGAACATCGGACTGATACGCTTAGGCCTAGCCTCCACCCACTCGTAAACAAAATTCCAACCTTAGTGTAGCGACCTTGATGCAATCTTATAGCTGCATTGCTCGGCGTTGAGGGTTTCAGGCCTCCTGTTTGATCAACAAGCGGGCACTCCGCTCAGGTCGTGTTGTGGTGAAAGCGACCCTCGTTTCCTCCAGCTATGATTTCCTTGGGTGGGTATGGCTAGATGCTACAGGTCAAATTATATTCATTCGGGTAGTAGTGCCATGCTGATTTCATTCGCTCGCTCCTACTTGCACTGGTCGCCGCTAGGTTGTAAGTCGCGCGCAGCAAGCTAGTAACTAGCATGGAAAAGTGCAGCTGAGTCATTCTCTGATCACTCTTTCATGTCTACCTTCTGTTACATGTGTCAACATGTTCCCTGAGGCATTTACTGAAACTGGTTATGGCTCCTTTTCGACGCCTGCACACAAACGGACGGCGAAAGCTTGAGGACATTACTGACCATGGTGAGAAACCCGAGCCCCCGGTAACCCTTCCTTTTTTTGTGTAGGTGGGCTACATGGTGGGCTCTGCCGGGATTCTCTTGCGCCGCACCTTCGCTGCATGAGAGGAGGTGATGCGGCTCAGACATAGAGAAACAGAGTCAACTGCTGGCAGAGGTGAAATGTTGTGTATTTTTGAAGTAGTTGAGTAGCATTCCCGCGCCACTTTTACAACTATTCTACAAAACCGTCAGCTGCAAAGCTCAAGACAACTCGACGTAACTACATCACTGCCATCCCGGCTGACGAGCAAGCTGTCAACCCTTCTGCCGGGCAGCCAGACTCTGAGCATGATTGGCAGGGCTGGAGGATGTTGTTCGGCAAAGATGTTAGTCCTATTGGCATGATTCACTTGTTTGTTATTTTGCGGCTGATGCTGTTTTCACCGCTGGTACCAGAGAGGAAGGTTTGTGAAAAGACGCCGCTTCCCGAGAGCGTCCTCCATCCCGTGTGACTCGCCAGATGCAACAGAAGCACGCTTTGCTATGCTCTGTGTACCGCAGCCCTGAGCCACTAGCTCCCCGGAGAGCCGACGACCCCTTGATTATGGAATATACCATAAATCATAATAAGAAAAATAATAATAATAAGCGCCCTATAATTTAACGTATTTCATGAAGGGGTATTGGGCTCTCTGGGTCTACAACCCCAGGATACGTATCAACTGAGCCTAAGCTCCGCAGGCCTTTGTCCCGGGGCTTCTCTGTCGGGGTTGTGACACTTCATGCCTTGCAGGAGCATATGCAGAGCAGAGCTTGGATATAGCTGGCAGGAAGGCAACCTGCTGAACCTGAGAATACCTAGCCGTAAAAATCCCCAGAACCGAGGAGGGTTTAGGGTTAGAACACTTGAGAACGTTGCATGTTTGAACGCCCGGCTTTCAGCATTGAATGCCGACTTTGTCCTGACGAAGCGCATCAAATCGGACCTACACTGTTACACCCTACACTCCAAACTCCGAACCCTGAAATGCAGGGTGCCAGAGATCTGCAGCCACCCACACCTACCGTCTCAGAAGAGGTGGAGCAAGAAGGAACAAGCAAAAGGCTGACTCATAGGGAAGCTGTCTCGTTCGTCGCAAGCTCCACCTTTCTGCCGCTGCTGCCGGGAGATCAGAGTTTGTGTCTCGGGCTGAAAGGTTTGTGATTCACAGTCCGGGGCTTGAGTCTACAGTCTAGAGACGTCTAGGGCCTTCACCCCCAGAATTCGGGTATGGCATATGCAAACACTGCAGGACCCCGATGTTCTTCACAAATCTAGTCTCGAAAACGTGATTTCCTTTGTCCGCCAGAAGTAGCTCACCAAGTAGTGTAAAGACTCTATTGTGCCTGTGTCATCGTTCATGTTACGTCATCTTGATGAAGCCATTTATCTGGAAAAGACCTTGTGGCGACTTCGTCAAGCGAGTCCTGATGAGTTTATCAAGTCGGATGTCCTCGAACGGCCGTATCGCATCGCATGTAATTGCAGGCTTTGTGGCCGTTTCATAATGAGCGAACCAGGCAAGGAACGTGGTGTCAATGCGCTTTCGTTTCGTTCTACCTCAAGCCCTGGTCCTAGTCCAATCGACTGCTAACGAGGATCCCAGGCGATTGGTTTAAAAGCCTGGTCGAAACTGAGCTTCCGGCAGTTGGGCACCTCTTTCCATTCATTTTTCTCCCTGCAAGCCTGCCTACAGCCACCGGCACGGCAGACTTGCATCATATCCTTTGACTGCTTGGAAGTGTTGAGGCTGTGGGGATCGAGTATCCATAACCCGCTCCCATCAGAATTGGGAGGTTCTTATCTTAGGAGCGCTGTCGTATCAGCTGTTTGCGACCCAAGCGAAAGTACACATAGAGAGAAGTACGCATTCCTGCGATGTGCCGAAGAGAAAAGCAGTACTGCACATATAGGTATAGAAGGTTTCAGAAGACTGTTTCCCAGAGTGTCTCGTATTCCTTAACTACGGAAAATCTAAACTATTAACAGAATGCTGAACAACTTTAGGTATATACACTCCTCAGTTGAGGGGTACTGTACTCTCTGGGTGAAACCCCGAATTTGGGGTTCGGCACGCCGAGAATTCAATCCAAAAGTCCTAAGGTTTTGTAGCTGTTGGATGCCAGCATCTCTATAAATGATGAGTCTGTATACATGCATGCATGTGTATGTATATATGTATGTATAAAATATGTATGTATGCGTGCATGTATGTATGTACGTATGCATGTATGTGTATCTCTCCTACACGCGTTTGTATATCATGTAGATACAAAGCAGAAAACGTAAATTCATAGACAAAGTCACGTGAAGCTTTTCATCCAAGTACTAGTGTCTCTAGTCGTGTAGGGTTGAGGGATAAAGGTTCTGGATTTCCCGGGTATAAGAAAAAGGTCCAATATGTAATGATTACTATCGCCGTGTAGTAGAGAAACATAGACATATATTCACCTGTACTGCAGCTATTATCGCCATCATCCAACACCCTAAGCCCGTAAACCCTCTGCCTGACAGGACGCCGCCTTAGTGTGGAGCTCAGGTTCCAGCCACTGCTCGCAGTTTGCGGGCACGGAAGCACCCTGACAACTCCCATTCTATGTGAGTTCTCATCCTATGCAGATCTTCTCGAAACCCGTAGTTCAAACCCTATAGGGATTAGGGTATAGGGTGTATATACATATATATATATATATATATCGATTTTATGGCTTGTTGCAGCTAGGGGCCCACTCCCTATTCGGACTCTCGAAGTAGGCCTGATCCGCTCGAACATTGAAGTTCCTAAACTTATCAAACCGACATTTTTGTAGGCTCCCTAATAATCCGACCTCGGCTTTAGATTAAGAGCCTACAAAAAGTTTGGTTATGGTCGTTTAAGGTACTGTAGGGTTTTAAAGGTTCATAGCCCCTAAGCCTAAGGCCCTCAAGCTTCGG